TTTATGTGTTTGAGTGTATTGCCTGCATGTATGTGAGTGCACCCATGTCGTGCAATGCTGCGGAGGTCAGAAGAGGGCTTCAGATTCCCCTGGAACTGGAGTTAAGGATGGTTCATAAGCGCCATGTGGGTGCTGGGAATTGAACCCAGGTCCTCTGCAAGAGCAGTCAGAGCTCTTAACCACTGAGCCATCCTTTTTAAGTCTTTCAAAGATAGGACTTTTGCTTCTAAGAAATGGCTCCCTGGTTTTCAATTTGTAATCTAAACTGTTTCATTATAAAGAAGGGAATCTAATATCTACTATTAAAAGCAAAAGTAAAGAAAACCCAGAATGACAACATATTAGCAAGAACAGATTACCAGAAGCCTATTCAAGATGATGTTGTTGAGGTTCACTTTGGGTTTTCTTTATAAAATCCATGGATAGTTTCATTTTAGAAATGAAAAAAGATGGCATATTTATCACTCTATTAAGCCTCACTACACAACCAAAGTCAATCTCACGACTTAATGAAAGAACACATGGTTCCAAGTTCAAGCTGTTTCTCAAATCAGTGGTTCCACGTGAGGCTCTCATGGGTCGGAGAGATGACTTACATTCTGGCCCCAAAAGGGAGCTTGTGTGTCAGGCTCTTTTTTAATGTATTTTTTTCTTTTGTAGACTTGAAACTATAGAAAATGCCAAACACACACACACACACACACACACACACCAAAAACAACAACAAAATGAACCTCTGTTTCTTACTCATAGTCAAAATAAGAACTCTTCATAAGAATAATTTATTGCTGGAAGGTTTTTCGTTGTTTCAGTGACTATTTCCCTGCTCTTTTTCTTCAGTGTACCTCTTATCTTCTACAACAATGTATTTTCTTGTTTATTCACTTCTTGTACATTTCTTCTCACTATAAGCTCCATGAAGCCAGAGGTTCGGCCTCTTAATTACCTCTGTATCTCCAATGCCTACCAGTGTCTGGCATTGAGTAGAAGTGTGTGTGTGTGGGGGGGGTGGTATGCCAATATTTTCAGACTGGAAATGTGCCAATCCCCAAATCATAATTCAAGTCTAACTGGGAAAATAAGATAAAACAGACATTTGACTTACTTTAGAAGTCTATAATACGCAAACCGGAACAGTTCTTGGATACAGACTGAAAGCAACACCCCGAAGATTAACAGGTATTTCTGCACTGGTCCGTCTTTGCTGTCACTAGTGACCCTTGCTATGAACCAAAAAAAAGATGAAAGCAGCAGAGATACCAACCAGAAGAAAGCGCTGAAAAGTAGAAAAAATTAAAGTCAGGATTAAATTAAGTACAGGATTAAAATGACTTTAAATCAAATCCTGCTTGAGAAGGAAGATTTCTCTATTTTTTAATAAGGAAAAAAATTCCTCATAAAGTGGATCAGCAGTTGTTAATTGGTAGTACATTTTACAGTTCAAGAGGAATGAGATTTGCTCAACAATAACTTCTTTTCAGTGACTTTGTTTTGTGCACACAAAGACACTATCTGCCAAGGACTGGCTGGAACTTGGTTGTTGACTATTTTTCCTAATTGATGCTGTGTTCATTGGTGTACCAAAGTAATATACAACCTGTGACTATAGAAAATTTTATATCCTCAAAACTCACCAGACTCTCTGGATTTAATGGCCAGCTGGCTGGTAAAAATAAATGTAAAAACAAAAACCTAAATCTCTATTATCAGAGTGTACCCTTTAAAACTCATGTTGAAAACTTGTGCTCTGGTCTACTACATCAGTGTTCCAGGCCTGATACTTAGAACACTCGTGGATTTGAATAATTACAGCAAGCTCTGCAAACCGTTAGTTCAACCATCTCTACTTTTTGAAATGACACTTTGAGCTCAGCTGAGAGAGGTGAAGCTCAGAAAAGTGGGAGTCCTTGGGGACAGGTTGGCTTGTCCCTGAAACAGCTCCCAGGCTGCAGGTGGAAACAGATTATGCTCACATTCACCACCAGAGTCGGTATTTACCATGCTTCCAGGGAGCAGACCCCCATCAGGTGTTTCTGCGTTTCGCAGGCTTCCACCCCTTGCCTGCACACCTGAATCATCACCCAGGGGTCTTTAAGGAAATCTGATTCCGAACCCCACCGAGACATCCTGCGTCAGTGGATCTGGGGTGGGGCGTGGGTATCATACACTTAAAGCATCTGATCCCCAAGTGACTTAATGAGGACGAGAACAACTCATCTAATGGCTCTTTACCCACTGGGATGACACATGCTGCTGAACACTGGGTGAAATTAGACTCCTATAGAAAGACGAACGCTACACACTCGAATGCAGCTATATTTTCTCAAGCTCAGCATCACAGCGCCCTGAGGGTCCCTATCCGCCCGCTGCTGGTCTCGGGTGCTCCTCCTTTTCCTCAGACCCTCGGAGCGGGGCGAGGCGCCTCCGGGAAGCAGAACCTCCGCTCTCCTCAACCCTCCGGCGGTCCCCAAGCCCAACATCGTCCAGCGGATCGGTGGGGACGCCTAGGGTGGAGGGAACGCGGGGGAAAGGGAGCCCCGGCGTCCGGTCGGGCGCAGCCGCCTCACCCGGCGATGAGGAAGATGACGCGCAAAGGGTCGGTGGCGATGGTGAAGACGTAGAGAGAGAGAGCAGGCCCGAAGGCAATGAAGGCGCAACCGAAGAACACGGCCGCCGTCATGGCGACTGCAGAACCAGTCCGTGGCCCTAGTGGGGCCACGAGATGCGCTGCTCGCAAACGAAACTGGGCGTGAGGTGGAAGGGCGGCTCGAAGCTGGGCGGGAGCTGGATGCGGAAGTGCTAGGAGCTCCGCGGGCGGCCGGCAAGGGGCTCAGGAGCCAGGGCGGGGCCTCGAGGAGGCGGGGCCTGGGGATATTCTGAGCTCAGAGCAGGGGACCCGGCGAAGCTCGGGAGGCGGGGCCTCGGGGGCTCAGAGCGGGGGGGGCCGGGGGCTCTGAAGGCGGAGCATCTTCATGCTCCGGGCGAGGGGGTAGGGCCTGACGAGGGTGAAGACGGGGCGGGGCTGGAATAGCGGACCCTGGTAGAGCTGGGGGTGGGGCCTGCTTTGGGAAGCGGACCCTCGAGGTTTCCTAGAGCAATGACAGCTGAGGACCACCTGAGCAGGGAGAACTGGTGTGGCAAGACAGTTGGACCCCAACTGGTGGTGCTGTTTGGGAAGGTTGTAGACTCTCTAGGAGGTGGAGCTTTGATGGTTCACAGTGGTTCACCTGGTGGGGGGGGGGTGAGGTTTTATAGGCCACTCCCACTTCCACTTCCTGCTCACTCTCTGCTTCGATTGTTGCTGCAATGTGACTAGCTGCTTTCCTCCTGCTGCCATGCCTGCCTGGCCATGATGAGACCCATCCCCTCAGCTGTAAACCCTTCCTCCCTGAAATTGCTTGCTTCTTGTCAGATATTTTGTCATAGCAATGAGAATAATATCTGATATATCCACCACAAATAAAGTTCTTGGGAAGCCTCAACAAGCACAGACTAGTAGACAAAAGTTGGGAACGGACTGTCTTTAGCGTAATTAAGAAATTTCCCACATTATTTTATTAAATTTTTATTTTATGTGTGCATTGCCTGCATGTATGGAAATGCACCCGTGTCGTGCAATGCTCGCGGAAGTCAGAAGAGGGCATCGGATCCCCTAGAACTGGAGTTACAAACAGTTGTTAGCTGCCATGTGGGTGCTGGGATTTGAACCCGGGTCTTCTGCAAGAACATTCAGTGTTCTTAACTGCTAAGCCATCTCTCCAGCCCCTATTTTATTAAACTTTTTCTTGAGACAAGGTCTCACTTTGTAGCCTAGGCTGGTGTGTAATCCAGGCCAGTATCAGACCCCTAGAAGACCTCCTGCCTCAGCCTACCTAGTGCTGGGATTACAGGTATAAGCCACTATGCACAGGGACAAAATGTTCATTCTCATTGTTCAATATTCCTAGCAGATCTTTGCCTTTCTGTTCACAAATTCATATGTTCGGATTGAAACTACTTTGCCATGTTAAGGCTTTGACAATTAGGCAGATGGGGCTAAATTTAATATTCAATTACAGCAATTCTATTTTTTCTTCAATTGTAATTATTTTCTTGATTTCAAAATATGATTATTTTATCCTCGTTTTAATGATTTCATTACCACTACTTTAACCAATATCTATGTATCTTTATTAAAGACAGTCTCCAAACATTTTAGAAACAAGGTAAAGCCAGGCATGGTGGTACATACCTGTAATTCCAGCACTTGGGAGGTAGGGACAGGAGGTAAGATGCAGTCTGAAAAAGTGAGGGGGGGGGATATAATCTTAACCTTTAATATCAGAACTATAAATGGGGAAAACTTGCATTCATGATATCATAACTATAAGTTCAATTTTAGTCCATAGGTTCAGCTGAAAAATTGGAAGGCAATAAAACACATGACATCTACCCCTCAGTTGCAAAGTTATTTTCAACTAACATTAAGAAGACAGAAAAGCAACTACAAACTGGCAATGTCTGCAATAACACAGTCAGCTGCAGCATTTATTATAAACTTATCCTTTGAAGCGTTCTCTGGGTCATAATACAACCTTGCATGTATGTAATGTTGTTGCCTTTAAAAAAGCACATTCTTCCTAAACAAGGATCTCTAGATAGGCTGACTAGATTCAGCAGATGGACAAGCACTGGAGAATGGCTGGGGGTGTCACAACACAGAGGACAGTAACAGGGATGATAAGAGTATATGGGCTCCAGTGTGTGGGAGGGGGGAGGCTATGGGAGGGTGCCATTTGGGAAGTGGGCATATAGATGAATACGATTGTGTGGGATGTTCTGTATGATATACACACACAAAAAATCAAATTAAAAAAACATTTTAGGAAGCATAAGAATTTACTTCATGTTAAATAGCAGAGGTGATAAAGTAGTTATCACGTCATGTTAAATAGTAGAGGTGATATTTTACCAGTGAAATCTATCTGATGACTTTATATTCATACTCAGGTACTAAGGATCCAAATATAACCAACTGTGACTAGTAATCATTAAATACATAGAGATTAAAGACACATGTGCAAACATCTAAGCCTTGGTAGCATTAAAAATGTAGGAAACACCATATTTTAAAATGAAATGGAGATCTTCTTTAAAGGTTAGAAACCCATTCAATCTTATGTCTTACAGGGTTTATACTGAGTTCAGTATTGTATAACTGTATTAATTCAACTGTGAACCTAAAAATTTATAGTCACTTTTGGAAAGAGATATATCCTTGCTCTGGAATGTTACTGAACATGTTAAAGCTGTAATGAAATGCTTCTTCTAATTATGTGGTTATTAAATTTAAAGAAAATTAAATAATTCTTCAAAGCATAAAAATTTGCTCCTTAATAACTAGTAGATGTGAAAAACATTACCACTGAAATCTACCTGATGACTTTATATCCATGCTCAGATGCCAAAGAGCTCAGAAATTAACCGACTGTGGCTAGTAATAATCAGATATACAGAGCAGAAATGAATATGCAAACATCTTGGTATTAATTGCATTAAAAATGAATTTTTCTGTATGAAACTGTGTATTTTAATAAACCTCATTCAATTTTATGTCATAGGGTTTAAACTGAGTACAATATTGTATAACTGTAATAATTCAACTGTAAACCTAAAAACTTACAGCCAATTTTGAAAGAGATGTATCTTAGCTCTGGAAATTGTTATTGAATATGTCAATGCTGTTGTAATGAAATGCTTCTTCTAATTATGTGGTTATTAAATAAATAATTTTTTAAAAAAGCACATTCCACTGATTTCAATAGGCCTGCTTACAAATAAGGAATCTGAGGCCAAGTAGCAATGGTACTGGCTCTCCATTTAAGGAATTTACTATTTATTATATTGTGCCCCCCCAATTGAAAACATAAGGTATTAAATGGTGTTGGAAGATAAATATTTAGATGGTAACTGGGAGAAGAACAAGTACCTAGTACAGAGATAACTACAGACTGCTTAGGATTCTTCCAAACTGGATATACACTAATGAATGCAGATGCAGTCTTTGTTTCTGAAAGTGCTAACAGATTATTTATTCCACTATTAATTATCCATTCAAAATATATGTTGAATGCCTACTAAGTATTGGATACCATGGTAGGTATTAGGAATATACTAATGGAACAGATGAACTCCTGTCCCCATGGAGCTTACAATCTCATGGAAAATTCAGACAGGCAAGTATAGAATGTCATAATACACAGGAAGAAGGCCATTCAATCCAAGCTTGTTAAGTTTTGCTAAAGAAGGCCACACCTAGTCACACATCATTTTTGGGAGTTAACAAAGAGGAAGGAAAAGATGAAATAACAAGTGGACAGAGAGCAGCTGAGGATGGCCTGGGTGTGTGAGGGAGGGACAAGAGATTAGACTGAAAAGGTCATAAAGGGACTGCCCAGCAGTGGAATGCAATTAAGGTTTAACTAGGGGAGTGATGTGATCATATCTGCTTTGTAAAGATATGGAAAGTGGGATTTCAGATAGTGGCCCCTGACATTATAAAAACACAAGATGATAGTGACCTAAATCAGGGAATTAACAGAAGACTAAATTTAAGAGAGATTTAGGAATTTACATTCAGAATTTAGTGACTGCTGAGCTACAAAGAGAAGGAAGAGCCAAGGATGGTGGTTCTAGAGACCTTTGGTTTAAGTGGTTGCTGTGGAGCTGGGGAAGTAGAAATGATGATGCATTTTAGATGCTTTGAGAATTAGACACCGGTAGAACTTTGTGGAGGGGTTTAGTATGCAACTGCATTTACTGGATCAGGAAAGAACTGGACTGAAAACCCAGAACTGGGGATTCTTCCAAATACATAAAGATTTGAGAGTGGCTAGGATCACCTTGAGTCAGAAAGCAAGGACAGGGACTATGCCAGAAGGCAATAAGAGGAGGAACCTCAAAGGAAGCCATGGAGCAACTAGGAGTGTGACCAGGAAAATGGACGGTGTGCTGCTGTGGAAGCCCATGGGAAAACCACTTCAGGAAGAGAGGCTATCGGGAGGGTAAAGACAGTCCTACCATCCACTGGATGGAGCCATAAGAAGTTCAGACAGGCAAAAGCCAGTCCGCAAAGTTCTTGAATGAACGTGTGGTGAGAAAAAAAAGAAGAGGAGAAATTTGGCTTTGGCAAAGGAGACAGAACATCACCTACAGGAGGACATGTGCTAGAGGGATCCATGCAGTTTCCTTAGGAACAAGTGATGCAGTCTGCATTCACCCTGCCAGGCAAAGTGAGGCAGGTCCCTAGAGCAATCGGACAGAGTGAAGCTAATGGCTCCACGGGACTCAATCTGAGACTTAGCTCTTGCTCAGCATTGATTCTGCTGATGATACTACAGGATGAGAATCACCAGGAAGCAGCTCTTAGACACCGGAGACTGAAGTAGGTAAGTGCCCTACCATTGAGTTACATTCCCAAGCCCTCCTGGAGACTGAAGTAATATCCACATGCTCTTACAGTAAATTCACCTTCAACTTGGAAACACTACTGATGTTGATAAAAGCAGTACCCACCCCTAGAAGAAAGACAAGATTGGCAGAATTAGCCATGAACAGATTGAGAACCAGCAGGACAGCTCAGCTGGGTATTTACCTGAAGTCAACATATTACAGAGAGAGTTGTACTTCAATGTTTATTGTAGCATTATTCACAGTAGCTAAATTATTTTTTCTTATAACACAATTTTATTTGCTTTAATTTTGTATAAATATTTCTTTCTTCCCCTCCCTCCCTCACTTCCTTCCTTCTTTCCTCTTATTGTGTATGACAGGGTCTCACACTATAACCCAGGCTGGCCTGGTACTCACTATGTAGTCCAGACTTTGAATTTGTGTCGACCCTCCCACCTCCGCCTCCTGAGTGCTGGATTACAGGTATGTGTCACCTCACCTAGCTTGATTTTCTTCTTTCTTAATGTTTTCATTATTTTCATTAATCTGTCTTTAAAAACCTGTTAGAAGGAGGTTTTTCAAGTTTTATGTATGTACTGGCATTACTTTTCTGTTGCTGTAATAAAATACCCTGACAATAAGCCAATTAGGGAAAAAAGGGTTTTTTGGGTTACAGTTGGGGCCACAGGGAATCACTGCAGGGAAGGCATGGCAGCAGGAATGTGAAGCTATGCTTCAGGCCTGGCCATCAGGAAGTAGAGTAATCTCATGTCATCCACACACAAGAAGTAGTAAGAGAGAACAGGACAAGCCTAATACCATAAAGTCCTCAACTAGTGGCATACTTCTTCCAGCAAGGCTCCATCTACTCAATGTTTCATAGTTTTCCCAAACAGTGCCACCAACTGGGGACCAAGTATTAAAACACATGAGCCTATGAAGGACATGTCTCTTTCAAACCACAATATACTGTCTTAGAGCTTTTTGAGTCAATTAGTTCCATTTTTTTATGGAATACAATTTTTTTTTGGAATACAATTTTTTTTATGGAATACAATTTTATTGCCACAGTAACATCAAAGATAACATCAACACAAATAATTCTATTGACTCCAGAGGTGATCCCCACTATAAGTCACCAAGTTCAGAGATTATTGATCAAAACCTGAGCTGGAGAGAGTGGTGAGGATGCACAGATGGTCATTCCTATATCCTGGCCCAGCAGCTTTCCAAGCAGGTGTGAGCTCACCTGGATCAGGGTAGAGTCTGAGTGAGTCCAACAATGGCTCTACCACACTGGAAAGGCTGAGAATCTAGTAGTTGCTCAGTCCATGAGGCTGGATGTCATAGCAGCTCAATCTGGTGCTGAAGGCCTGAAGGACTCCTGGGGATCTGCTTGTCTTCAGTCTACATTGGAATCCAAAGAAATTGGTTCTACTATCAGCAGAGGAATGCTACAGCAACAAGACAGAACTGCCAGTGAGAGACAAGGCAAGGCAAAGTTCCCTTCTGCCATGACCTTTTATATGGGCTGCATTCAGACGGTAACACCCACATTTAGGGTGGGTCTTCCAGCTGTAAATAATCCAATCAGGAAAGTCTCTCTCATTTCAGTTAATTCCAGACCCAGTCAAGTTGATAACCAAGAGTAGCCATCACAATGCTTTGACGGCACCTGTGTAGTACTATCTTCATCTCTGCAGCTCCTCCCCATGCCACAGTCTATTTCTACTTTCCTGATTTCTGAAGTTACTTCAGGTATGTACTCACAACTAAACATTTGCAGCTAGGATTTAAAACCTGAGTACATGCAATTTCAGTCACCTGATATCTGACAAAGGTGCCAAGAACACACAATGGAGGAAAGACGGCATCTTCAACAAATGGTGCTGGCAAAACTGGATCTCCACCTATGGAAGAATGAAACTAGATCCTTATCTTTCACCTTGCATAAAAGTCAACTCCAAATGGATCAAAGACCTCAGTGTGAAACTGGAAACTCTGAAACTATTAGACGAAAACATTGGCAGTAACCTACAAGAAAGGACTTTCTAAATCTGATACCAATTGCTCAGGAATTAAGGTCAGCAATCAACAAGTGGGACCTCATAAAACTAAAAAGCTTCTGTACAGCAAAAGAAACAAGAAAGTGAACAGAAAATCTCACAGAGTGGGAAAAAAATCTTCACCAGTGACACATCTGACAGAGGTGTAACATACAGAATATATAAAGAACTCAAAAAACAAAGAATCGGGGCTGGAGAGATGGCTCAGCGGTTAAGAACACCGACTGTTCTTGTAGAAGACCCAGGTTCGAATCCCAGCACCCACATGGCAGCTAACAACTGTCCATAACTCATTTCAGGGGATCTGACAGCCTCTTCTGTCCTCCACGGGTGTTGTACGACACAGGTGCACTTACTTACATGCAGGCATAACACTCATACACATAAAATAAAAATAATAAATAAAATATTAAAAAAAGAATCAAGAAAACAAATGACCCAATTAAAAGACGGCCTAAACATCTAAACAGAGAGTTCTCAAAGAAAGAAATAAAGATGGCTAAGAAACAACTTTAAAAGTGTTCAACATTGTTAGTAACTAGGGAAATGCAAATTAAAACCACCTTAAGATTTCATCTTACACCAGTCAGACTGGCTAGGATCAGGAAGGCAAATGATACCAAATGCTGGCGAGGATGTGGAGAAAGGGGAACACTCATTCACTGGTGGTGGGATTGTAAACTCATGCAACCCCTATGGAAAGCAGTGTGGAGAACTCTTAAGAAACTAAAAATAACCTACCATATGGTCTGGTTATATCACTCCTTGGCATATACCCAAAGGACTCATCCTATTGCAGAGATACTTGTACAATTGTGTTTGTTGCTGCTCTTTTCACAATAGCTAAGAGATGGAAGCAACCTAAGTGTCCTTCAACTGACGAGTGGTTAACAAAAATGTGGTACATTTATACAGCTGAGGTCTACTCAGCAGTAAAGAAACATGAAATAATGAAATTTGAAGGAAAATGGATGGATCTAGAAACTGTTAAGACCAAGTGAAGTAGCACAGACTCAGAAAAACAGAAGATGTGTGTTCTCCTTCATCTGTGGATCCTAGCATCAAATTCTTATAAGTCTTGGCTCCATAGTAGCTAAATTATGAAATCAATCTAGGTGTCCACCTACAGAGGAATGGATAAAGAAAATGTGGCATATCTACACAATGGAATTTTTTTTTCCAGTCACAAAGAAGAGGACTGTTAAGTCATTTGCAGGAAAATGGATATAACTGGAGGTATTCATACTAAGAGAATTAAGTCAGCATTGGACAGATGAATATTAGATGTTTTCTCTCATTTATGGATCCCAGATTTTACACAGATATATAAAACCATGTCCATATGATAACTGTCTAGGGGGAAATAGGTGACTAATTAGGAAAGAAGGGAAGAAACAGGGACGGGAGAAAGGTATTAAATCCCAGCACTCATGAGGCAGAGTCAGGTGGCTTTCTGTGAGTTCAAGGCCAGCCTGGTCTACTTAGTGAGTACCAGGCCAGTCAGGGCTGCATAGTGAGACCCTGTCTCAAACAAAAACAAAAAGTCCTTATGAAACCCAGTAACACATAAAATGAACATATACCAACTTTAAAAACGTTATTTAAAATCTATATATAGGGGCTGGAAAGATGGCTCAGTGGTTAAGAGCACTTGCTGCTCTTGCAGAGGACCCAGGTTCAGCTCCCAACACTCACATGGTGGCTCACAACTGTAACTCCAGTTCCAGAGGATCCAATGCCCTCTTTTGGCCTCCAAGCACACCAAGCACACTCACAATGCACGACACATATGCAGGCAAACATTCATACACATAAAGTAAAAATAAATAAAAATCTTTAAAATATATGTACATTTTAAAATGTGCAATTCACTTGAGTCATGAGCATTTTTGGTATGTATTTTTTATTTTAGACGAACATTATTGTAAAAAAAAAAGTTCACCTGGAATAAAATCCATTTTTTAAAAAACACAGCATCAGTATCAGTACATAGTTAATAAACTGGCTTAAACAGACCAACCACATGACAGGTCCATGTTATCCACAGGAGCTTTCCACAGTAAGCTGCTGGAGCAAAAAAATAAAATATATTTTTAAACACACAATTAGGAGAATTCTATGAGAAAGCTAGACAGTTGCTATGAGGGGCATGGTTTTAGTCAAGATAGTTTATGACATTTTGCATTAAAGGAACTGCACTGTCAGTGATTAAAAACTCATCTGTAAGGCCATAGGACTGAACCATCATCAGTTCACATTTGTTTAAAAAAGGTACAAAGATAAAACTTGAAGTTCCTTTAGTCTTGGCAACAAGAAATGCAACTGCATATGGCATATGTATCAATAAATCAAGTAAAGTCTGAAAAAGAAATCCCTAAAACAACTGTTTGCTAATTTTCATTTCTGTACATTTTGGCCATTTACTTCCTTTACACTGAATATGACCCATAAATTTTATTAGTCTAAAAAAAAAAAAAGAATGACTCTGTTGTAAAATTTTTCTAGAATCAGAAATTTTATTAGTATAGTCTGATCTTCTATGTTCTTCTGAATCAAGGAATTTCATTTTTAGACATTCCTCTCTGTCCCTGGATATAACAAGAAAGGAAGGTTTTTTGTTGTTGTTGTTGTTGTTTTTTAAATAAGGTCTAAAAAATTTCTTTAAAAAAATCTGATTGTAGAAAGGCATGCTTAAAATTTAAGATCAGTAAACCAACATAATGAAATGTGGTTTACACATTTTAGGCTTAGAAGCTCATTTTTAAAGATTAGAATGATCTTTATAAAGGATTCTAAGTAAAACTTGAAAAGAAAGCCTATTTAAATTTGTCATTTTACTGCTACTGGAAAAAAAACTTTATAAGTCTTAGAACAGATTCTCAGCATTCAGAACGTCTACTGGAAAAAAAACCTCTTAGAACAGATTCTTAGCATTCAGAACCTGTAAAATGTGATTATAATCTTACCCAGAAACTGCTGCAAAAATCTTATCCATATTGCACAACTAAATACATTAATGGAGATGGGGTCTTCCTACTTTCTTTATACTACTGGATATGACATGTATGTTCTATTCTAAACTAAGGTATCATTTATCTTTTCTAAGGGTGCCTTCAGTTCGAAACAAGACAAAACAAAACATATAATCTAAATTTTGTTGGATGCTTAGAGGCTGGCTCACTGTTTCTCTACCAGTAGAGAATACTAGTTAGCTAAATGAGGTATAGTTAAAAAACAGTCTTTCAAAGTAAAGATTATAGTCTTTTGAAAATTTATAACAAAGACTGCACAAAACGTCCATGTAAATAGAAACCCTGTGGCACCTACTAACAGATGCACAGGTAGAGTGGTTCATCACCTTTCTGAAATAAAATAGAGCTAAAATAAATTCCTAGTTAAACATTTTAGAATCAACTGATTCACATGCTACTTAATTAACAGCACATTTTCACTGTCTAACACCCTCAGACTCTACTTGAAAACTTGAGTCCAGTCATTGCCAAAACTTAGCATAGTGATAATACAGTGCAGCCACAGAGCAACTAATACTGCTGCAAAAATCTCTATGTACCTTATCCATATATTATTAAGTAAAGTAGACTATTTATTGGGTCTTTTTTTACCATGCAGAAAGTGAATTTCCTATGGTCTTAGCTCAAATTATATACAATTTAGCAAAGCTAAATGTAAGAAAAATAGCAAGGACAATTTATTTCTATGTAATAGAGCATATCCTCCCAGTTTGCTGCCACTTCAAAGAACACTTTAGACTCATCTAACTTTTACAGGCTCTTTCAAAAGGAAGTTCATGGAGACTAGTTATTAACCCACAAAAGACAAAAGAATAGTGGCAAAATAAAACAAAAGCAAAAAATCAAAAGCTAATCACAGAACATGTCAGTTTTGGTTTGCAGACAACCCCTGAGATAGAAACCAAAGTGTTAAGACACCAAGTAGTCAGAGGTAAAATGCTAAGAGAATTACATTCACACGTGGTGTCGTAGCACTTGCCTTTTGGAAAGTACTTTGTTACCATTTAGAAAGCTTAACTGCTTGAACTTTTTTCACCCACAGAAAAGTAGTGATTAGATGATATTTCTATGAAATTAATTTCTTTTCAAAATGTATTTAATTTGAAGATGGTAAATTTACAATCAACTCTTAATTATGGAACTACTTACACTGGAACAACAATGGGTAACTTTAAGCCTACTGGTAACTACAAAAAAAATAAAGGCTGAAATTTGTCAACAGTAAATTTGATGTATCCACCAAAAATAGTTCTGGTATATTTGCAACCACTAAATTGCTTTTGAGTTTTCAAAACAAGTAGTAAGGCCTGACTGGTCAAGCACTGAAACAACATACGTTAATTTGAAGCAGAATTCTCTGTGTAACAAGCAATCCATTTCCATTTCCACCTCCAGTTCTTAAGTGTGTAGCATGACAGCAGCTTTGGTAGGCCTAACCAGGATAGTAATTACTACAGAGTTCATTTCCTTTATCACCTTGTTATATCCTGTGTTGAGATACCAAAGGCTAGAATAACACAGTGATATTATGATCTGAATTTGGCACATAACACTCCATTAATACCTTTTTTTCTTAAGTGATAGTTTCATCCACAAAAGAAATATCAGTACCAGCATTTGGGAAGAAAGGCAACTAAGCTTTTGGTTGGCTTTGGCCTAAATGACTGAACCACTTCTCTAACAATGAACCTAAACAGAGCTGGGTTCTACATATTCAACAACAGCTGTTTGAAACTGAAACCTTGATCATATTTTCTCTAATAAAAGATAAGATTTTCTACAGAATGTGCTATGTATAATTACTTTTATGTTTTAACCCCCTACAATAGAACCAAAAGTCATTATTTTCAGCATTACCAACAGTTATCTTTGAACTAACATCAACAAGTTCTCTCTCTCTCCTTATAGGTATGCTTTCTGCAAACTAAAATTTCAATCCAGCTTTTGCTAACTCTCACAGATGGGGATGATTAAAATTGGGTAAAAGTAAAGGGGTAGAACTAAGAGAAACATATATTGTGATGTAACAGGACTACAGTTAGATGCTGAAATAAAGCCCTAATAATATACTTCTCTGCCTATGTAAAACCTCAGCTCACAAAGTCCATAAATAGATACATCAGTGTTTGAGTGTGTTATTCATTTTAGATAACTAAGTAATTACAATAAGTGAAACATGAGAGAGAATAGCAAATAGAAACCCTGCCAACAGTGAGATACTGAGTAGTTTCCAGAGGCAATCAATTTCAAAATGGATTCCTACAGTCCTCAGGGATGAAGCAAAGCTGTTAACCATCTGAAAAGATAGACACTGTGGCCTCTGACGAATAGGTGGGCATTTTTATGAATTTTAAAGAGTTCATCAGAATTTAATGATTCTTAAGAACTTGATTTGATTAAATCAGGATTTGATTCCCTTAAATCAAAGCCCTTCTATCAATGCTACCAATGCAGTAACTTTTGGCTGTATGATCCAGACCAACTGTCCTTTAATTTTAGTAGATTAACCCTGCTTAATGTTCTGTTGTCTTTAAGCATCCCTCAATGTATAAATCTGCCTAGAATTTCATGACACAAAAGTGCACAAACACGAGTCTAAGATTGTACTAGGGAAAGGCTAACACTGATGTATGTGCAAAGTGAAAAAGAAAGATAGCAGCTTCTGTGACAGGCAGTCAAACAAAGAAAAACCAGTTAGGTCCTGCATGGGTCTCCATATCATTGCTTCCATGTCTGAAGAAAGGAGCCTGTTCTTTTGCTAGGTCACGGGGCTGGAATCCACTTGGCGTTCTGTGTTGAGGTCTATAGTTCAGTGGTGCTCTCTGCAGCAGCTGGGCGGGGTGACTGAGGCTGGGTGACCTGTGCTTTCAGAGAAGCAGGGAAGGGCCCTCTAGGTGTACTGCAGTCTCTCAGAAAGCAAGAGTTCATCAAAGCAGCGAACAGCGGAAGAAACTGCTCTTCTTGGATCGGTTTTCTGTTATTTTCACTGGCCCACCTGCTCCTGATGAATTGCTGTCATTCTGAAAAATAGGAAATAAAGGTACTAAGGAGATCAGTTTCACAGTTTGACCTGTTACTTAAAAAGTGAAACACACCATGTGGGGTGTTTCTGGAGCTCAGCTAGGGACACACAAACTCAATGGAGCATTTTATTAGAAAAGGAATTGTTAAGTTTCAATATTGTCTTTTTTTCATTAGAAATGACGGATTAAAAAGAGGGAAAAAAATATTCTTAGACTAGCACTTTTAAATGTTAATAATGTATTAGGCAGGAAATTCCTGTATTTAGATCAAAGCAATTCTAACAAGTGTTGTGTAATTTCAAGGGTAATGATGGAAACAATGCTAAGGGAAACAGCCCTGTCAGAGGTTAAGAAGAGCTGGTGATATAAGGTACAAGATCTAAAATATCATCAGGACTAGAGTTAAAACACTTTCAAAGGTGCCCAAATGATTAGCCATTGAGAGAATTTCAAATTTAAGCAAACATAACTTCAAGATCATCATTCTATAAATTATATGATTTATATATTCTATGTATCATATGAAAACTGACCAGATAATTTTATGACAAAAAGCAATTTCTGCCATTATTATTTTCACTATTGTGTTAAAAATTCAATTAACAACCACTTAAGAAGCCAGAGGAAAGTATTCGGAGAGCTGCAATTCAGAAATAATCCTAAAGCAACAGAAATTAGAATCAAAGTTCAGCCATACAAAAACATAAAGTTTAATGTGACTATATTAAAATCACACCCATCCATTTTTAGTGCCAAATTAAAAATGGAAATAAAAATTGAAAGTGATACAAACCATTTTCCTGTTGAGTTTTGTCATTATATCTCGTGCAAGTGTAAAAAATGCCTAAAGGTAAAAGAAAAATATTGTATTGCTTAATATTCACTATATTTCAAAACACAAATATATAATTTTTCATTATTTATTCATGATCCCATCACTCAGGGTTTTTAGTTTAGAATGTAGTTAACTGTAACCCTAGCACACACATATTATTCCCCTTTTCAGTTCTATCATATTTTTCAATGTTATCAAGCTGTCATTCATTCATTCATTATTTTATGTATGTAATGTGTGCCACAGATTCCTAATGTGTTACAAATTAGGTTATAAGTAGCTTCTTGGACACATCAAAAACAGGACAGAAAAGGGTACTGTCTGTCTAAACCACCTGTCCTTCCCCAGAGAAGGGCACAGTCTAGATGATGCCAATATCTGTTTAGGAGGTGAATGAATGATTATGCATTACACTTCAGTTCTAAAGTCTATCTTCTCAAAAATCTCTACCCTTTTCTTTTCAGCCTCTTCTGAGGTCACACCTAACTATGACACTCCAAAATCACTGGTTCCTGGAGCTCAGCTAACCCCACCCCTCCATGGAAATTGATTCAAATGGAAGCAGGGTAAACCTGATGAATCTCAGAGACACTTATCCACAGTATCTCTAGACCCAAACCAGTCTTTTTAAAATCTGTCATCACTTTCATTTCCACAGAAGTATGAAGTTCATTCTGCGGCCATGATCCTGTGGGGCCATCTCGGTGAGCAAGCTTTTCTTGTATCTACCCAGAAGAAGCTTCTCTCCTTGGGGTGGCAGGAAATCCTTCCATGACAACCAAAAGGAAGCATTTTTTTTAACCTATGTACATTTGTGTAAATAAATAAATCAGTGGAGATTTCCTGTTTCTCAACACATTAGCCAACCTGAAAAAAAGAATGTTATAAAATACATTTGCTTTAAAACAAAAAAAGTTCTGATGAGTACCCAATGACTGACTAATAAAGTCATTTAAGTCTTGATTTAGCCATTGTGTCAGTATAAACAGTAAGTACTCTAAGAAACCAAAGCTTAGAACACCGTCAGTATCATCAAGTGAACTACATGTAGTAACACATTATCACATGTCTGTTAAACAGATCATCTGAAGTCTTCTAAGAATAGGTTTTCTTCATGCAAAGTAGTATTGGTGAAATTTCTTTTTAAAATTTTTTAACTGATCATAAAAATGGAATTTTAATCTACTCTTAGAAGACTTTAGATGATCTTATTTTTTTGTTGTTACATTTCATATGTGTATGTGTGTGTGTGTGTGTGTGTGTGTGTGTGCGTGCATGTGCGTGTGTGTGTGTTTACCACAGTGAAAGGGTTAAGGTCATGCAAGACCGGAGGTCATAGGACAACTTGCAGGAACTTGTTCTCTCTTTCCACCATGTGGGTCCCAGGGATCAAACTCAGGTCCTCGGGTTTGGTGGCAAGTGCCTTTACCCCATGAGCTATCTCACCAACCTCCACATTATCTGGTTTTAACAGCTAACATAATGGGAATTTATTAAAGCTAATCTGTGATAAACACTTTCTTAAATCTACTAAATGCCACAGTGTTACAGTGCCCTGCTTAATCTACCTCAAATGTATACACAAAGGGAATCTGTTCAATAAGATGGCAATTATTCAATTAATTCAGCTTGTTGCTGCAGGCTGCTGCAGAGTGACAGGCATGATGACAAATGAGCAGAGGACACTTTGAGCCCAGGATTTCCAACTTCCCAAACAAAGGGCTGCACTGAACTTAAACTGAACTTGTATCTCCTCTGTTCAGAGAATTGTAATTGAACAATCTTAATACAATCCATGTGGAGGTTGGATACTAGAAATTCAGCAACTGAAGTCCACATAAAAGGCCTAGGCATAAAAGTGCACAGGAGGTCACCACGTCAGGAACTATCCAGGATTTGAGAACTGTGAGAACCATAGTAAGCACTAGTGTTGCTGCTACCTTACAAGTTGCCTCACATTTCCTTCTTACCTCTTCTACATTTGTACTGGATTTTGCACTTGTCTCCAAAAATTTAATCCCGTAGTCAATTGCTAACTGAAAGACAAAGAGAAATATCAAATTCAGTGTAAGTGGCTTGAACATATAAAGTACTTACAGTTTTTAGGTTTTTCAAAGTTCCCAAGAATATTTTTGCCAGAATTCCCATGGTTTTCAATTTTTTTCCTTTCTTGTACTACACTTGAAATTTTATAATTTAATTTAAAAATGGTACAGCTTCTACTTGAAACACCATATTAGTAACTTTTATTGTACTCGTAGTTCTCTAATATATATATATATATATATATATATGTATTAAAACCTATGACCATTAGCTTCAGATTCATTCACTGCTTTTATCTTCTCTGAAAGTACAAGTTTCCAACAGTAACTATGCCAACTTTTGTTTCTGAATGAACTGGTGTGTGTACTATAATGAACACTAAAGTACATATTGCTTTGAAAAATACTGAGACAAATTTGAACTCTTTCATATTTCCATCTACTTTCAAACTGTTCCCCAGGTCACTTAACACTACTAAACTTAAGTGAAGGGTTTTAAGGACAAGTTTGTAGCCGGACTGAAAAACAAAATGCATTTTGCACCTACCACAGGAAAAAAGGTAACAAGAAAAGCTCAAGACTTAAAGGTAAGGCCTTTTCAAGAACTGAGAAAATACCAGGGCTGTAGAGATAGCTCTGAAGTTAAAAGCACTTGCTATTTTTCCAGAGGACCAGGGTTCAATTCCTAGAACCCACATGCTGGCTAACAACCATCTGTAACTCCAGTTCCAGGGGATCTAATACTCTCTTCTGGCCTCTGTGGGCATTGTATGCATATGGTGCACTTACATACACATAAAAAAATAAAAATAATAAATATTTTTTAAAATAATTGAGAAAACACCATAGAAGTAAATATGACCAAAAAAATAAACCTTTGCTTTATAGGACATAAAATAGAGATAAGCCTTCAAATGTCACATCATGTCACATCAAGAGCCTGATCAGTTTCAAGGAGCTTATCCATCATGACCTGTATCTAGCTTGTAGCAAGCTCTTCTTAGAGAAAACAATGAATTGGAAAACAATTACTGTTGAAATTTCACCTATGTTATTACTTTTTTTCAGAGAATGAATTACTGGAACTTCAAAACTAAGCTTTTCATACAGATCTAAAAGAAACAGGTTGAACTCAAAGCTGCAGGGATCTTAAAAAGGACCAATTTGTATCTCCCAGAAAACATTAACAAATTCTTTGGGACTGAGTCATGATCGCTCAGTCTATGAGTGATGTATATGAGCTGGACAGTGAATACTAATTCTCATCATTCAAGGACGACCTACATCTCACTGTTGTTTGTATTCAGTTTAAAAGGATTAAAGTACAGCTATTTTTTAAAACTTAAACCAATAATTAAATAATGCTCAATGTGCGTCGATTCTAGCCTTTCTCCACTGGGTTCAAGTTTACCTTCTCCCCTCTTTCTTTTGACACTTGTCTTTTGTCATTCATATCACATTTGTTACCCAGGATCATTCTTTCAACATCTGAAGAGGCATGCTGCAGGGAGAAAACAATATGCTATAAAAACAGCCTGAGAAAGACCTGAAAATTTTTCAATTGGAAAATCTTAACCTGTCAGAAACACATCACTATGCTCAGCAAGAAGATAATCTTTCATTCAACACTAAACCTAATTCAGAGAAAAGTTTAAAGATAGAGGGAGGAATTATTTCAGTTTAAAACCTTCACCAACCATGTGCAAACATTTTCCCCTAAGAGCTTACTGTCTTTTTCTTGTCTTTTTTTACACATGAAATGCATATGTACAAGTATACATATATAAAGAAAGAATAAAGTTTATGGTTACTTAACAGCAAAATTCCAAGCAATTATTCTGGCCAAAGTCAGAAAAATACTTAGTACTGAGTAGCCCACTAGAGAAAGTAACCTGGGTTCTGAACTCTTTTTTTTGAAAAAACTCAGTTCTAACATGTACCAAATTATTTCTTTGTCAAATTTTTTCTGAAATGCCACAGATATTTTAAAGAAAATTTAATATTAACTAGCCTATAATTAAACCCAAATTTCAAATATCTAAAGTAGATAAAATGTAAAGGCAAAAAAGTTACAGGAATAAATACATATTTTCTGCTAGTCAAACAGCTGGTTTTAAGGAACCTGGAAATCAGATATCTTCTGGCTTTGTTTTAAAAGTTATGTGAACACTGATTGGCAAGTCACTTCTTTCTGGCCTGTGGGATCATGTAAAAAAAAAATGGGAACTTGGATTAAATTGCTGCTAAGCCCTGGCCTTAGTTTAAATGTGAAGATGCTCCTCTGTCCAGTCCACAGCAGTCAGCTGGCAGCACTGGGGAGCTAATTTCTTTCCCAGTGGAAAGGGGGCCAGTCCTGCCCATGCTACTTCCCAGTAACTCGGCCATTTCCAACAGAAAGAAGCAGCTTCTAGAGGTGCCCAGCATGCTTTTGTCCAGTTCCATCCTCCTCCTTCCATACATACCTCTTCAATGTTTCTTATCCAATTTTTAATGTTGTCAAAGGATTTTTCATTTGTGATGTCATAGACCAACATAATTCCCTGAGAGGAAACAAAGGATTTTATGCTCTACGTCAAACACTTAAGAGTATATAATGCAAAGCAACGCTACTCTTCTCTTTTGTCTTTTTTCATTTTAAAGATTTATAACAAATTTGAAAACTACAGAGACAAACAAATTCTCCTATCATCTCACCACATAAATAAATGAATAAATAATAACTCTGTTAACATCTTCACTGTTATTAATGTGATTGTAGGAAAGGCAGACCCTTTTTCTACCTGACATTACATGATCATGACTAGCACTAAGCTGAGTTTTGGGTCTGGTTAAGTCAAGACACAGGAGATGCTAGAAGGAAGAGGCAATTACTTCATTGTATACGGGCTTATTACAAATAGGAATTATCGTTCTTACTCCTCTACTAAGACCAAGACCATGTTGCTTTAAATGGTTTTAATACACTCTGATTAAAATGTTACCATTTGTGTAAGAATTCATAAATTATTGTAAACATTTACAATATAATGCATTTAACCAAGATGTGCTACCTTTAATCCCAGTACTAAGGAGACAGAGGCAAGTGGATTTCTGTGAATTTGAGCTCAGCCTGGGGTTACATAGCAAGTTCTAGGTCAGCCTGGTCTAACAGTGCATTCCAGGCCAGCTAGGGCTGCATAGTGAGTCAGAAAAACAAAACAAATAAAGTATGATACTTTTATTACATTAGTTTAATTAAAAGTACTGTCATTATGTTTTTAAGTATTCATACCTTGTACTTCTAAAAAATTCTCTTTCCAAATGTTTCAAATGATACCTGTATGTTAAGTGCCTATAATCTACGTCATCAGACTACTCTTCAGTACTATATGCTATATCCACTTAAGTATCAATCCTTCACCAAATATTTAGTGGACTGGGAGTGTCATTCAGTGGTAGAGTGCTTATAATCCTAAGTACTAAGTAGACAGAGACAGGGAGATCCAGATTTGCAGGCCAGCCTGGATGGTACAGCAGGACAATGTCTAAAAAATACAAAAATTAAACCCCAAGCCCTCCCAATTCTCAAGAATTTAGTAAGCATCTACTATGTGCCTGATACTAGACTAGGTACTACTGGCAGTGAATAAGACAGTCAACGTCCCTTCCTTTCATGAATGGCTAGCAAAGAAAACAGAACAATTAGTTCAAATTTTGACAACCGCTGTGAAGAAGCATGAGGAGTTCTGAACTAAAACACCAGGAACATAACAATCTCATCCAGTGGAGAGGCTCAAGTAGTCAGGGACAGTTTTCCTAAGGAAATGAATAAGACCAATGCATGAAGACTGAGGACAGTTAACCAGGGCACAGGGGTGGGGCTTGACAAAGAAAAAGATGTGAAGCCACAGTGCCTGCCACACAGCAAAACATTAGTTTTCTGTCACAGAAATTCCAAAGCACATTTGACTAGATCAAAGAAAGCCTTCTTAGCAAGAATGCACAGTTTTACTTGGAAGAAGGAACAAGATGAAGTCCAGGAGATAGACAGGAGCCAAATACCCCTTAGGGATCACTGTCTGGACATCAGCTGCTAGGCAGCTCCTGTACCACAAACACATATAAGTAAAACATGTGATTGTCTGAGTCTCTCCCATCCCCCAGTTCTTCTGTAGCTCCTGAACTATCATTTGGTGAAGGGTAATAAAGCCTAGGCAGCCCATGTAAACACCAGGAGTTACTCTCCACAGTCAGTCTCTAGGTCCTGTAGAGCCAATGATTCAGTATTTTCCAAATCTGACCTGTTTCTTCATAATTAGATTCTCCTCAAATAGCCTTTCCTGGAATTACAGTTCAAATCTTCATCTGTCTTCCTGGTTCCATTCTTAACCTCCCCCAATCGTTTTTCTGTAAGGCACCCTGATCAGCTCACTGTCCAACACTCCTTAGTTCTCTCCACTCTTCTCAGAATTAATTCTACAGCATGGTAGGCAAAGTACTGCAGAGACCTTGTAGGTAAATAAAAATGTAAATATATACAAATCACATGAAATATACTAGATAAAAAAAAAAGCCAGGAAATAAAATGTGTACAGAGTTATCTCTCAGGGTAGTTAAGATTTTGGATGATTTCTTGGAAATTAAAAAAATGTACAGCTTTTTATATACCATTTAGATCCACTTTTTAACAGCCAGGGGGAAAAAGTATTATTGCTTAAATAAGCAATATTTTCCTGGATCTCCCTCCTCCTTGCCTCAAATATACATTTTACTTTTGGCTATTTACTGTAAAAGAGATTTAACAGTTGCTTCAACATAAATATTTTTATTAAAAAATCGAAGTGGTAAACCACATAATTAAAAATGAAAAAGTGGTAAGTCTTATGTTTCATATATTTTACCACAACAAAAATAAACAATAAATAACAGTAATTTCCGATACAGAATGCTTAGCTGCCTACAGTACCAAAATTAACCAAAGAACTACCTGCCCCAGTGCTATCATCCTTTGGGCTAAATAAGCAAGCTTTATCATTCACATGCCCTGTCTGTCTTGAATATCCCTTCCTTTGGTCAGCACAGAAACTGTAAACTTGGGTGTGGAGGGTAAAGGCTCTAAAGTCAGAAGCTTCTGGCTTCTAGCTCAGGCTCTATCCTGGAGTTGGTACTTTAACTTTTTCTGTCTCCAGAAAACAGAGACAACAATACCTCTTCCACATGGGGTTGATCTGAGGCTCTACTGAGATGTTTGTAAACTATTTAACCCAGAACTCGGGACATAGCTTAGACTTAACAAGTGTAGCTATTACTAACTTACCTCCTTGGTTTCAATGACAGAAGGCATTACACTGTTTGCTATGTTTGTAAGTGAACTGGTATTAATATGAATAAGCTAGGTATACAAATTAAGTATATCAGCTAAACTTTACATATTTATGTATAAACCTACAATAAGAACAGCTACCTAAGAATTCAGAGGATGGTGCTGGTTTATGAGAAATAATGGTAATGTAACAATACGGTTCTTTTTTCCCTCCAACCTAATTGTCTGATATCAAGGATCACTGCTAAGCCTGCAAAGTTGCTGACATGTTTGAAACAAATCAAAGAAATCTACATGATGGCAGACTCCAGAACAGTACTGCACACTAGATTCAAACAAATTTGTCACGACCATCACCTTCTAGGAATGGTGTGCCCCAGTGCAAAACCAACAGCCCTGCAGGTCACTGCAGCAGATAGCTTGAGGGGTTCAAGAATTCAACAGAGTAGGATTTCCTGGAAATTCTTCTAAGATCATTCCTAGGTCTGAAATTTTCCATTGATTCATCCTGTCAGCAAGTACTTGCTGAGCATCTACTCTGTCAGGCACTGGCACTGTATACAGCAAAACAGATGAAAAAAGCAAAGCATCCCTACCTTCAGAATGGAAAGGACAGTACTATCTAGAATAGCAATTTGTAATTATTTGAAACAATATGAAGAAAGATTAAACAGTAGTAACTTGAAAAAGACAGGCAAACCTCAAGTCTAAATTAAGTAACACATCTCACTGGCCTCTTTCTTCACACCATGAATTAGAGCTAGACATCAAAGAGAGACAGTCACTCCACAAGGTAGTGTTCCTACCTACTCTCAAGGGGAAAGAAACATGCAAATTACACAGCCCTAGAATGAAAAACACTGGTCAGCAGAAAAGTTAGTGTATCTAAGATACCTCTAATCCTAATTACTTGTAAAATATTCCTGCCAAACCATTCCTGTTATCATGTTCTTTTTATCTGTAAAATATTTCTGGGGGAAACAAACAAATGTGCCTCTGGCACACACAGGAAGTCTCTTTCCCTTGATTCCAATCTAAGCAAAATAGAGAACTACCATTGTTTTTTTGTTTGTCTGTCTGTTTTGTCTGTCTGTTTTGTCTTATTGAGACAGGTCCTCTAAATCCCTGGCTGGCCTGAAACTCACTATGTAGAACAGGCTGGCCTCAAACTCAAGAGATCCACCTGCCTCGGCCTCCCAAGTGCAGGGATTAAAGGCATGCACCACCACGCCTGGTCCATTGTCTTTATGAAAATAAAAACTCTTTACCATCTTAAAAGTATCATATGGAGAACACATAGTCAACAGCCAGTGATATGCTACAGGTATAAGAAGGAATCCTCAATGTTTTGGTAGGGATGAATTACTGATAAATAATGGTGGGCAAGGGGAAGTGGAGGAGGAAGGGGGGGTAGTATGATAATAGAGGGATCTGTGGATTTAGGCCATGTTTTCCTGGCTATGAAGACAGTTACCATCTCTACAGCTCTGTCATCCTCTGCTATTCCCAGGAATGCAGCAGTCTTGGTAGCTGATAGCCTAAAATCTTCAAGTTTGGCTCCATGCTTGCAATGGTTCAACTTATTAAGACTGTCTGAATATACCAAGTTTCATCAAAATTCAAGACTCAAACTTTGGGTTGGCTTAAGCCTAATTTATTTTGGTTTTGGTGCCTTTGAATCTAGGGCCTCAGGCATGTTAAACATATGCTCTACCCCCAGACTCAGACCTAAAAGTCAGTGATAAAGCCCTGTTCTGGGCCTGAAATTCCAAGTGACAGCTCACACATCTCTGCTTCCAAGTTGCTTATTCACCATTGTACTCCCAATACCACACAGGAACTGCCTAGAACCAATGGGCAATATAAATGCGCTGAGCATGTTAAGATAGAAAATAACCAAGTGATGAAGCTATGATAACAAGGGCATGGTCAGGATGTAGCAAAGAAGGGTCTGGTAGTCAAGATCCTCCAGATTCTAACCCTCAAGGTTATGGGTCATTCAGCCTCTTCCTAGCCAGCTGGCAGAACATCAGTTAAGGAGACCCCAGAGAGTTGAGGATAAGCAAGACTGTGCTGGTGGATGGAGTCTAAAGATAAGTGATGACGGCTGTGGGGCTGAGGGACAAAAGGGGACAAGAAATGAACACTTAGTCATGGGGTTTATACTCTGCTAAGACTGTCATAAAGTACTAAAAAAGGAAAAAAAGACCACAAAAATGGAAAAAACACCTCAGAATGTGGAGGCATTTTAGAGTACCTAAAAGCTAATTGCCTGATTAGTTATTATTAAGACCAACAGCAAAATATAGGCACTAAAAAAATCAAATATGACTTTCTTAAAAATATCATTTTCACATTAAAATTTTTATTTATTTTCCCTCACTGTACTAGATTGTAGCTTTATCATTATGCATGGGCAATGGCTATTCATATTTTATTTTCACCTGGTGAGTTAGAAAACCCTAAAATACACTCATCATCAATTAGAAAACCCTAAAGCACACTCACCATGGCTCCTCTATAGTACGCTGTTGTGATTGTTCGGAATCTTTCCTGACCTGCTGTGTCCCTAAAATTTGAAACAAAGGAGAGAACGGTTTTAAAAGTCATTAGCAACACCAGAGAGGAAAGACCCCAAGCTGGAAGAGATAACATTCTGGTCTGTTCATAGTGCAGTGGTGGCAGGAGAATGAGGTACAGAGACAGCCCAGTGTCCCTCAAGAGCTGGAGGCAGTGGTGGCCACAGAAACCTGTCAGAACTCACAATGACTTGGATGAAAAACCTGGACCTTGTTAAGAAAAGCAGCAACAGGAAAATAACAGAAGTCTTACTAGGAACTGGCATGTAGGATGGAACAGGAAACAGTTCTAAATTCTTGGACTCCCAGAGGTAGTGATAATCCTTTTCATAAGTGCTGCATTAAGGCATTTTGCTTTCTTGACTGGATGTGTGAACAATTGAACTGGACTTACTACTGTGTACATTCTGCTCAGCAGAGCATAATAAAATAGATCTCCTCCAGAACTTGTCCAGCAGCAGAGTCCACATAACAGCCTGGAGTTCACACACCATTCCTCAAGTTTCCAAAAACTTTTAAACCTAAACACTTCAAAATTATGTAATCTCCAATATATTCTTGCTTTATAGTTGATGGCACACCGCTAAAATATGTATTACAGGCTGGGAGCAAACCTCAGTAGAATACCTGCCTAGCAAGTGCAAGGCATTAGTTTCAATCTCTAGCACCAAATGGGGAAATTATATATATAT